AGGGAGAGAAAAAGCTGAGAAAAAAAGTTGGGCGGAATGGCTTGAAATCCCTTTTTATTTTTGCTTTTTCTTTCTAATGTATCAATACATTTTAGCAATGTTTTGATACATCTGCCCTAATTTCAAATCAATGTATGAATACATTAGGGCAATATATCGATACATTTTAGGTAGAATGGCCTGGGGTGCTTTTTGTTTCAAATATATTGATACATTTGGACAATGTATTGATATATGTTCATTTTTTGCCAAATCTATCGATACTTTCTCAAATACTTAGATAGAATATTCTTTCTCGGGCCTTTATTGTTCATCCTGCCATGAATGTATCAATACATTGGGGTATGTATTGATACTTTCACCCCTGTAGCTAGTTCTAAGCTCCCTAAAAGCTTCAAAAGTCCAAGTTGAACGATCTAATATTATTCTCGATTGATATTACACCTCATATCGTCCTGCAACTAATCAACAAATCATTAATCCTCGAGAGTGGATATTTATTTTTTACTATGATCGCATTCAATTGTCAGTAGTCAATACATAACCAAAGGATACCATCCTTTTTCTTCACGAATTGCACTAGAGCTCTCTAAAGGGAGACACTAGGACGAATAAAACCCTTATCCAAGAAGTCCTCTAGTTGCCCTTTAAGCTCTCTTAACTCAACCAGTGCCATTCGATAAAAAGGTATTGAAATTGGTTGCATTCTTAGAATCAAGTCAATACAAAATTCAATCTCTTTTTCAAGAAGGAATCTAGGCAATTCATCTAGAAATACATCTAGATACTCATCCACTACCAATGCGAAATCCACACGCCTTCTTCCATCAGAGCATCTTTTGTCATTTCCAAGTATCCTTGGCCTTCTACCTTGGCATCGGTCTTGCTACTACATCTTATACAACTTCCACAGACACTGAGCTACCATACTTGTATATCACAAATGAAGATTCCCTTGGAAATTTAAACTTTACCAATTTATGATAACAATCTACATTGGCAAAAGAAGATGTTAACCAATCCATGCCCAAAATCACATCAAAGTCCAAAGTTCGTAGCAATACCAAATCTATTAATGTATCCTTATCCATTATGTGGACCACACAGGATTTATACACGTACTCCGCCATATATGACTTCTCTACGGGAGTGGTCACAATCAAAGGTTTCTCCATGTTACTAGAAAACCAATTTAAATTTGTCACAAAATGCAAGGAAACAAAACAATGTATCGATCTGGGATCAAACAAAACTAATCTTCTGTACCACATATAGGATGTATACTTGTAGCCACTGTATTGGATGTTTAAGCATCTTGCAGTGTCAAAATGAATACGCATGCTTGACTTTCACTTTCATTACCTGGTTGTGTTGATCTACCACGAGATGATGAGGCCACAACCTTGCCTTTGTCACCTTTGGCATTCCTCCCAGTCTATGTCATCCTAGGCGAGGTAGTTACCACTTGTCTCACATAACTGTGGTCACCACCCTCTACTAACTGCCTCTGCATTGGACAATCTCTCATTAAGTGTCCAATTTGACCATATCTAAAACATAATCCTGCTGCCCTATGGCACAGTCCGCCATGCATTTTACCACAATAATTACACAAAATACTTTTTTGTATGGGGCCCAGATTAAATGCTCCACTGAACTGCTCTCACTTTGATGGCGGGCTATATGAATCACTATTCCTCGATGGCCTATGCGTAGGAGTAGTCCCTTCACGACTCTGATGGCGTATAAATGTGGGACTCTTAGTTGCGCTAGAATCTCTTGGACCCTTATGGCCTTGTGTCTAAGCTTTTCGACCCCTACCTCTTTCCATTCTAGATTCCAATCTCCTGGTTTCAATCATTCTTGCTACATCCACCATTGTTGTATATGAGGCAAACCTCTAAGTGGCCAACACCCTAAACAGCAACTCAATTAATCCCCGAATAAATCTCTTGATCTTTTTACATTTAGTTAGGACCAAGTCGATAGCATATCTTGAAAGTTAGGTGAAGCAGACATCATATTCTATCACCGTCATATTTGGGGTTTGTCTCATAGTCTCAAAGTCTCAAACTCCTATGCTTTCACGTCTCTCACGTTTGCAAGCAAGAAGCAATCTTGAAAAGCTTGGACAAATTCCTCCCATGTTATTTGGGATAACTCCGATGGTCTGCTTCTCTTAAGTGTAACAAACCATTTCCTAGCCACATCTTTCAATCTATAACCCACTAATTCCACTGACCAATGTGTGGAGGATCTCAAAGCCAAACAAATACATTCCATGTCTTTCAAAAATCTCTACAGATCTTCTTTTGCATTAGAACTAGTGAAAGATGAGGGCTTTAACTTTATAAAATCTGCTAAGGTAACCTCAATAGCCCCTCTTTGATGTTCACACTAAGGCACATAGTCTAAATCTTACAAACCAAAATGAACCTATTCCTCATATGGTGCCTTGCTTCTATTATGGAGCTCAACAAATTCATGAGCCAAACTTTGCAGCCTTGTTGTGAAATCCTCTAGGGTGACACCTCTTCTTATAGGGTAGTCATCCCAGATTCTCACATTCTGCTCACCAGTGTACATATAACTTGGTTTCGTTTTTCGAGTATGTCTCGCTCTTGTACTCCTACCTTGACTTCTTGACGTGGACACTTGTGGTGGTTCCATAGGCTTATTCAAGGCATCTTACTCTCTAGTGACCCATGAAGAAGCTCTCATCTCAAGTAGCATCTTATACCAAGACGAAACAAAATCATGCTTATAATCACAATTCCAAAATCCAAAGGATAGGCTTACTAAAACTTTAGGAGTTCATGCAACCTCTTGTCTATGATTAATGCTACAGTCACCAACCATGAACAAGACTCTACATTAATTCCCGACACTCCACTGATAGGCACCATTTCACCTAGGACCCCTAACCTAGGCGCTTTGATACCAACTTTGTTATGACCCAAACTCGGGGGCCATGAACTATGCACAAGCTCAGCAGGCAAGCCCACTAGACCTAAGCAAACCTTAAAGTTCATATTCAAACATACATAGGTCAAGGGATTCAATCATCAAATATTCATAATAAATTCAAATAAAATACAATATCCCTTGCTTAAGTTTCATACAAATAGTAATAAGGCCATACATTGGCCATTCAAATGGGTTTATACATATTAACCCTTAATACACCATATAACATGGCACTTAGTGCCTACACACATTATCCATAGCAAAAGGCTTTAATTGACTCAGCAGAGTGACCAAAACGAAAAACCTATAAGATGTCAAAATCGATCTATCATTAAATGACCTTTACAACCCAACTCTGTGGCTTATTTATCTACACATGGTATACAAATGAGTGAGTACTATAATACTCAGTGAATGGTGCAAATAAACAAAATCATATATGTTTATATAAAACACACACACATATATATATATATAAACATATGCACTTTCCATGCAACTAGATGTTCTAGCAAACATCTCCAAATGTAGGGCATATCATTATCCCTAAATCTCCAATATGAGGACATATCATCATTCTTAATGTCTCCAAAGGTCATCACACATATCGCTGGGCTTACCCTCGAAGTAGATTAAGTTTATTCAAATCATTCTCCACGGCACACTATAGTCGTCGAAGTTTCACATCAGAATCATATCACATTTATTTAAGCCTCTCCATGGCTATCTCACATCACATACAAGTCAAATCAACGAGTGGTCCTCCCTTGGACATAGTCAGATCATGCATGGTGACTAACCAGCAAAGAATCAAATCACACTTAAGGTAAAGCCACTAATGGAGAAACAGATCACGCAAGTGCCAAAGCAACGGCAGAAGAACAAATCACGCACATGTCGAAGTAACAAGTTGAGAACAAATTATCTACCGGAGTAAATTCCTGACGTTGACATCACCCAGAGTAATCTCAATAGATGGCACATACATAGTGGGATATGAAGATTATCTTGATAATGGGATTTTCTTGGGAAGCATGTGAAGACGAGTATTCTTGAGGAATTTCTTAAGAGAGAAAATATTCTCAAGTTTGACTAGAATGATGGAAACATCCAAGAAATATTTTCGATAAAAAGTTTTCTTTGACTGTAGATAATAAAGTAATTAACACAATGAATAATGATTAAAGAAATATATATAAGAATAAAATCAAAAATTAAGGTTAAAATAGAATAATATATGGTTATTTGGTACCATTCGTTGAACTAGCATGATGGGGATCATTCCCTATGCATAATCGTACTTTCGAATTTAATCTTAAAATATGAAAACTAAACTTTGTTTTTTAAACAAACCTAAAACCAATTTAAGACCATGTCGAAAAGAATAAATTTAATCAGGTGGCCAATCAAATCTGAATAAAAGATTGGTGGTAACTTTAATTTCCACATTGAGGCATATGGGTTCTCGAACTCGCTTGCTGCAACAAAAGCATTGAAATAAAAAGGAAGTAATACGAAGAAAATGGTTATGTTGCATATTAAAATATTTTTCCTTTTACTTCTTTTCTTTTTATATATTTTTTTAAATATTATAATTTCAAGTAATTTTGAAAAATTAGTTATAAATATTATTTTGATCAAATTATATTTTTTTTCAAAATAAAGAATCGACTATTTAAATAAAAAGATATATACACAAACTATTAAGCTAAATGTTCTACTAATTTATATGTTTAAAATGCAAGAAAATTGGGACCCCAAGCAATAGCAGAAGAATTTTCCAACTAGATAAAAGGCGCAGAACGATTGGAGCCCAGGTTGGGAGAGGTCTGCCAGCGTGGCATTTTCCCAATGGAGAAGAGTAAAGACACGTGTCTTCTTATGGTCCAACTGAAAATTGAAGACCTTGTAAGAACCACTAGTCGCCTAACTGTAATCCCTAGCTGCTGTCAGACCAATCACGTACAGTTATACGCTTCATCGCCTAAAACTTAAAACAGATTTTCTCAGCACGAATATCAACTGAATCAACTATGTCTTTGGCTCCTAGCAGTCACCCATCTCTCTGCTCTTCGCCTCCATTGCCAAGAACCACTCATATCCTTTTCTCTTCTATCAAGCGCGTTGTATTCAACAACAGCAACTGCTCATTTTGGAGCACTTCTTCAGTCTCTTTCTGCTGTGCCAAGGCGCCAAAGCCACCGGTTTCGGTTGTCAAAGCATCGGAAACTGAGTCCCAAACGACAAATCAGAAACCGGAGAGTGAAGAGCAGTACGAGGAGTATGAGATAGAAATTGAGCAGCCTTATGGGCTCAAATTCAGAAAAGGCAGAGGTGGTGGAACTTACATTGATGCTATTCTGCCTGGTGGAGCAGCTGACAAGGCTGGGGTTTTCACTGTTGGGGACAAAGTACTTGCCACCAGGTTCTGTATAATTGTATATGCATATACTTTATTTCGTTGCTTTCATTTGCTTGTCTTTTAATTTCCTCAACCTTTTGCCGACTAACTACAGATGATTAGACGGAGTTATTTCATTATTTTTAATTTTTTAAAATAATTGCGGGTTGCCAATATGCAAGCACAGAACCAATTTTAAATTCCATGGCAAGGCAGTTTCTACGCTAGGAAGCCAGAGCAAACCTGTTAATTGTGCCAAATGCCACTGTACTTCTTAAGAGGTGGAGTTACGAGGCATTGCCACACACAAGGTGTCTGAAAGAAATGAAAAAGATGGATTCAGCCTCCTGCTGGACAAGCATTAGCTTAGCCGAGTCAAAGTACTTCGGGATACCGGTTTTCTGGATCTAAGAGAACGGTCTTGATTGTCTTCTTTGTGGGGACTTTCTTGTGCATTCCGTAGGTCAATTTATGGCGGTTTGCCTTGGATAAAAGCTTTTACCGAAACCTTTTTGCTCATCTTCAATATATTTGGCGGATTCCATTCTTCATGGATCAGCTATCATTACGGGAGTGTTGAATGCATGTCTGTTTAATCTCCCAACCCCATAACAGATTGAAATTAGGAGGTGACCATTAATTTCTTGATGGGAATGCAGTGCAGTGTTTGGGACAGAAATATGGCCTGCCGCTGAATATGGGAGGACTATGTACACCATCCGCCAGAGAATTGGTCCATTGCTTATGAAAATGCAGAAGAGATATGGTAAGCTATCACCTGATCTTGCTTTTCGCTTTACAGTAAGTGAAGAATACGAGCATATGGGCGTGTAAGAAATACAAAAGATCAGCAACTTATATTTGAATAGGATACTTATATACTAAATCAGCCTTAGTTTTGAATTCAATTTGTTGGCAAATGCCCTTGTCAATGTTGCATCGCGACCAGAAAAATATGAGCGTTTTCACATCTTTTCCAGGGAAAGTTGATGATGGAAGTGAATTAACAGAAAAAGAGATCATTAGAGCTGAAAGGAACTCTGGAGTAATTAGTGGCAGAGTGAGGGAAATCCAAGTGAGTACTTTCTAAAACTTGGCTATCAATTTGGATCGAAGATTGCATGCTAGAATACTTCGTAACCTTCACTTCTTTACACAAGGAAGAACCTTTTCTGTTTTATAACACCAATATAGTGCCTGCAACTTGCCTTGAACCTCAGATGCAAAATTATTTGAGGAAAAAGGAACAGAAAGAACGCCGAGCAATGGATCTTCGTGAAGGGTTGCAACTATACAGGTAACCTCTAACTTAATTTTAAAAGTTTAGTTGTTGTCCTTTGCTCATGCGTATATTTATGATTCAATAGTCTTCCAACAACGTCAAGTTCCCAAATATATTCAATTATGTTTAAGCACCTACATGTTTTTAGTACTATCTTCTGAACAATGAATTCTGCAAAGCTCTATCGAGCTAATATCTTGCTTGCTTTTATTGGGAAGGAGTGCCAAATATGAGGCAGCACTGGAGAAGTTTGAGTCTGTATTAGGATCAAAGCCAGAGCCTGATGAAGCATCAGTAGCGAGTTACAATGTTGCATGTTGCTATGCAAAGCTTAATCAGGTAGGTGATAAAGAATATATTGCGTCTTTTAGTTGTATCATTATTGATTAGACAAGTATATAAGAGTTTTGGCCCAGAGCACAAACAAATTATCCAGGCGTCTCTACTGGGACTACCATGTTGAGTTTGTTGGTTAACATGGAATAAGTTTATGAGTTGAAGAATCTCTATTCAGGCTTCTTGATTAAATCCATGCTATCTTTTTACTCCATTGAAATTGTTTACAGATTCAAGCTGGGCTGTCAGCACTTGAAGATGCCTTGCAGGCAGGATTTGAAGACTTTAAGGTAAAAATCAATTGTGTTGCATGTGCTTGATTTGTTAGTCAAGTCTGTTAACTGAACTTGCTGCTGCTTTTAACAGAGAATCCGGACAGATCCTGACCTGGCCAATTTAAAAACTTCAGAGCAGTTTGAGTCTCTGCTGAAAAGGTTTGATGAATCGTTTATAAATGAGAATGCCGTCAATGCCATTAAATCCTTATTTGGCATGTTCAACAAGAAATAAAGCAGTGAATTTGCTTCTGACAATAAACGATTTGAGTTGAAGCGTTGCATACAAGCATCAAAGAAGTTAAGAATCTCCTGAATCATCTTCAAAGAAGAAGTTACCCTTGTATAATTTTTGTTCACAGCTTTGAGGGTGACTGAAGAAATTCAACATGATATATGATCCATTAGGCAGTATCTTATTTGATTTTTTGTTTTGTCAAACCATCTTAATCCAAATAAAGGCAAAATTTAAATAGTGAGGATCTCATCTTCTCTGGCCAAAACAGTTTTTTGTTTTTTTTTTTCATGTTTTCTGCCTTTCCAGCTACATTGGAAAGTTCCTGCCTTCCAAATAGGCAATAGTTCTCTTTCAAATTTTTTCATTTTGAGAGAGAGAGAAAGCAGCTTCATTTATGTTATTTTTTTTTTAATATTATTGGCGGAAGGGGGATTCGAATCTTATTCTTTATGCAAGGGATCATGCACCAACCAATGAGCCAAATGCTCAGGTGCTTCATATATGTTATTTGATCACTGAAATTCTCTTAAAAGATGGCTAGACACAATCAGCTACAGTGTCAATTAGGCCAAATCCTTTCCACATCCACACCAACCTGTAGCCACTTAAAATCGTTGTGAACTTAAATTTAAGTCTTGGGGATTTTAGAATTCGAAATCCATCAGTTGCATTCTTTTTTTTTTTTCTAAAAAAAGACTAGTTTACGATATCAATATTTATGTCCAATGGATATTTCTTGATGTAAGGTAATTGTCTTACTGATAAAGTCATGTGTACCAAGTCAAGTATGCAGAGGGATGAAAGATATGAAACATAGAGTGAAAAATCAGAGCTAGGCCATGGCAAAACAAAAAACATATGACATGTGAGCCAAAAGAAACAGCATCCAGCAGATGAAAAAGGGCAGCACAGGTAAGTCATATTGAGCTTAAATCTAAAACTCTAGAATATAATTCCCCTAAGCTGAAAACTTTACCTCTTCACAATATTTAATTTGTTCGCATGATAAAGATTGCCGTTCTACAAAGACAGGGATCCTCTGTTATGCGAAAACCTCCAAGTTGAAAAGGAAAAATCCATATTTCATATGTTTAAGTGAGTTGTTAAATGCACCATTGGTCTTCTTTTAAGGTGTAATCATAATTGAAAAATCTATGCTGAAATCCCATGCTCAACGCTTTCCATTGACCAGCTTATTTTAAAACTTAACAAGGATCTTCTACAAAATGCTAAAGTCTTCACAACCAAATAGGAAATTAAAGAAGAGTCAAATTGAATCTAGAGTTTCATGAAAATTGAAGTTTGTTCCATTAGAATATTTTTTCAAGATGTCCCTAGAGAGAAATTTCTTTGCATAAGGGTTCATTGTGAGTGTTAGTATAGTTGTATGTTCTGCAAATCAATCGGTTGGTTGCACAGAGATACATCTTGTGTTTAAGTATTTATTATTTATACAAGGTATTTTTTTTATAAGACTTATAAATTTCGATTAGTTTAAATAAACTTCATGAAATGTTATATGCTTTGCAAAAGTATTATAAAGTGCTGTAATTATAAGAACCTTATTGCATCAAAGTATTTTTCTTAAATAGTTACTGATTAAAGTTATATCAAGAAAAATGGATATTCATAAAATAGAAACACTACCACGTGGTTATATTCCTCACTTATGAAGCAATTAATCAATCTTATAAATTAAAGTATGGGGATACTTAAACTAACATATATGTACTTATTATAAGAACAAGTTCAACAAACATGATTGGCCATGAGAATTCATTCATTATACCACTCAAGTGTCTATATAATAAATTCTTATATTACAGTTATATAAATAATCCTTAAACTTGAAATCATTTAGTTACTTTAAGTGTGTAATGCTATGCTTTAATACCATCTAAAGTGATTCTAGCAAAGGATGCTAAAAGAGGGATGGATATTGAGTATAGCATGAAACCATGAAGGTAAGTCAATAAACAACAAAGTGTTCATCACCTTAAGTGAAAATAAGGAGAATACCCCATTTTGTCATGAGAAGTAATAACTCATGGAAGCTTTAGTCTTGGGAAATTAAAAATGTCAACAAAAAGGTTTGTCCACTCTTTAATGATGAGTCTGATTACTAAAATCAAGTGCCAAAATGGTAGAGACAAAATTAGAATAGACATTGCATAATGTTTTATGTCTTTTCTGGATAATAGATGATGAACGGATAATAATTACACTACATGATTGTGCATTGAAAGGTTAATTCAAGCCATTATAACTCTTCTTAAAATTTGAATAGTCATAATGTATTGCTAGGTACCAATATATACTTATGAATATGAACTAATAACTTGGGAAATGGAAAAAAAATTGATAGGATTTTGATTAATCCAATCTTTATTGAACTTGGATTATAGTTACTATTTATTGTCAACATGTTAAGAACCTAATGGGTCACACATGTTAAAGTATGTTAGTTGAGAATTTAAAAAGGGATTGATTAAGTTGAACTTAATTAAAAGAAGATAAGAACTTCATGAACTTAATTGAATAGTTTAATTAGTCTAGAGACAAGTTTGCAATTAACATAAAAGTTATGTAAAGTTCTCCACGAATTAAAATTAATTTAATAGATCATAAATATGGGGTTTATGTTGCATTAGAGAGGTAGCTACAATCAACCAAAAACAATCAAACTATCATGACCCAAATCCAAGTCATGATTGGTGCAAAGGCTTAATAAATAAAGCCCACTAAACCCAAGCAAACTTCATGAACAAACAAACATAAACATATCACATATCATTATAATACGAGAAAACCATCTTAACATAAACAAATGTGTGTGTGTGTGTGTGTGTATCAAATGACATGTGATATTAGAGCCTTAGGTTGTTTGTGTCCTAAGTGTTTTGTTTGAGTCAACAGAGTTTTTTTATGTGGAATTTTGGTTCTGATTTGTGAACCGCAACACACTTCACATATTGGAGACCACATAAATTCCCATGTTTGTTTAGAAACCCATCTGTTTGTCCATTTTGAGTCAAGATAACTGTCCATTCTTGTTTTGGTATGGATGCCACCTAGAACTCGAGTTGTCTTTGATGAGTTTGTGGAGTATTATGCTCCTAATAGAATAATGATGAGACATGCATCTTTAATTCGATTGACGCCAATAGACAGGGCAGGATTAATAGCATACTTTGAGAATAGATAGTTGAGATAAGCTACAAATGTTACTCTCAAGGTTTCGAGAATAACCCTTTGGTTGGAGCACAATCATGTAAAATGTTTGAGATTACGATTGCGCACAAAGAATGCGAAATAGGTATGTACCTCGTATAAACAAGCATACATAGAATATTTGATGTTATCACTAGATACATACCGATACTAAAACCCACGTTAATGATTCCATGAGATTAGGATACCTTACTTTTTGATAAGATTGTGACCTTAGAAATGTATGATGAATTGAAAGATTTGGATAGTTGGTAAAGGACAATGATGTCCCTACTTGACCCATAGTATGGTAGATACCTTGTGATCAATGTCATGGTGGAAAAGAATTTGATTCTGAAGACCTCATGGAATTAGGTCAATTACCATTGTTAGCATTTCTGAAGATGAAGTAACAAACCTTATTGATAATAAAATTATGACTCATTGGTGTCTAATTATGAAATGTCAAGGTAGACCCTAGGGAAATGGGTCTGCAGCATGATTTGCCTTATTGGAAAAGCACTTTAGCTATGTTCAAGGCTGTGTAATTAAACAATCTGATACTTGATCTTTAGATAATTTTTTGAAAAGTCATAAGAGTTCTTTCGGATTTTTATTGCACATGATGGAAAGTTTTATCATGATTATGATAATCAAATGCTAAGAGTTGGATATGAAAAGGCTATATCAAGAAGTAAATTTTTGAATGAGCACTTTAGGCTAGTAAACATGCCATAACAAGAGAGTCTGGTATGTTTAGATGTTTAGATGTTTTTGTAGCTTGATAAAAAACTAACAATTGATTACAAAATTATATAATTGGAAACCTTAATTGTGGTTCCAAAAAATTGACAGTATACCAATGAGAATCATTGGAAAGATAGCTAATACCTAATATGGTTGCTATGACTTTTCTAAATGTAAGTCCATAGGATTGAGACTTTTAATAGTCTTTTGGAAGATTAAATGACGGATTTCTTTGTCATAGTGCCACGACAAGATTACTGGCAGTGAGATAGTGATGATATGAGTTTCTAAATTACATACAGTTTGAGTGCCATTGGAATACTCCATTATTGGAAGACATTACCCTTCATGGTATGAGGCATAATGTGTGAATCCATGTTTAAGGTTAAAGACATGATTAGGGAAAGAATTTTATTTAATGTTGATATTATCTAAATACCCTTATGTGCTGCGAAGGACTACTTCGTTATGTCAAAACAAATAAAGAATAATTCCTAGTGTGGTAAGGTTTCATAATTAACTGGTAGCCTTGTATGTTTGGGGAATTTTGAGTAGAAAACTGATTTTGTTAAGGTTAAAGGAAAATCTATGATATTGGTAAATACCATTGATTTGTACTCACAACTCCGCCATTGATTTGAAGTTAAATATTTGGATTCATAAATTGGAAAAAAATTTTATAGAAACTATTTTTGCTTATGATATGATTTGGATTGTGATTTGAGGCAAGAAGTAAATTGCTTTATCTAAGAAACTTTAAAATATCTTGATACCACAAGCCTTTTAGAGTACTCTATCCTTATACAAAGATTTACCTAGAAGAGGTTTGAGTGAAAAATATTTTATTTGAAAATGATTTTGGCTCTCGAGAAATTTAAATTGAATTGAACTCTTGTGGTATAAGACACATGGGTGCACTTTACCATATAAGTATGGACTAAGCCTTGATTCTAAAGTTGACAATGGTATGAATGAGCTAAGAAAAGTTTGAAATGTCTTGATGCTTATAAGCTCTGTGGAGCAATTATTCCTATATGATCATTGGATTATGTCATAAAGGTATATGAAATAGAAATTTTGGAGATGCCTTGGGCAATCAATTATCATGTTGGAATAGTATTGAGTCAAAATTTGAAAAAGATGTAATTTATGGCTTGGATTTTAGTCTTCGAATTGTTGATAATGGACAATCATTGATAAAGACCTAGAACGTTAGTTGAAAGGAAACAAAATTGACAAGATATGTTTTTTAGCCAACAAAAGTATTTATCTCTTATTGTTATTCCAACTCT